TCCGACGCTGTGTCCGTGGGAAAAGAACTTTACACGAACTTCCCACTTGGCTCGGCCCTATCGGAGACGGACGTTAAACTAGGAGGTCCCGCCCCTTAAATAATCTAATAGTGTTGATAGGGGCGTTAAACCTATACCATTTCATTTCATTTATAAAGTAAGTTATTGTTCTGGTTTTTTTTCATTTCATTTTAGATTTGTGTATGTGTTTTCATGTGAGGCGTGAATGTGTGTGCGGCTCGCGAAGAATCTGCAATGATGCGATATAAAAAGATCGTTAAGGTGGCGGGCTTCTTCAACCCTGCTTCTTTCTGAGGCCAGTCCAGACGGAGAGACGTTCAACATACAAGCAAACAGACAGAGATACTAGATGCACTATTTTACAAGTTATCCCCACACGGGAATCGACCTCAGATCGTCTGCGTGCGACTGCGAGGCATCTAATTTCTTAGGGCTGTTCAAATATAAGCTTGCACCTTTTTGGGGACTCCCCCCCCCCTCTTACATTTGTCTTACATTTGCTTCTTACCCCCCCCCCCCCCCTCTCGACTGGAAAATCAAGATCTACTTCCGCTTTCGTTACCACCCAGAAGTTTGTCAGTAATTGTCTGATAACGCAACATTTATTGTAATAATAATATGCAGGTTCGGCATTACAAACGTGGTTTCGCCATGTAAATAAATCAATATTTGTCACCAGGGGCGTGGCGTCACTTCCAGAGAAGGTGGCGCCAAGAACAAATTTATCACAACGAATAGTATTGCCTACTTATTACAGGCCTATAAACTGTAGACCTACTATATACGCCTGTTCATTTAATTTTAATACTGATATGGGGACACCTACTTCCATGCGAGAAGAATAGATAAGTGCTGGTACAATCTTTTATATAGATCGAGAGAGAGTTCAGCGCTCAAGATGCGCATAATCACATCACATCGTAATCACACACAAAACAATAACTTCCAACTGATCAACAGAAAAGAACACATTCACAGTCAAGAACTCGCATGCACTATTGCCCACGGGGCGTCTTGACATAATGACCCCATTCCCTGATTCCTTGCAGTTCTGGTTTCTAGAAAGCAGACAATAAAACCTATTTTTAGACAGTTGGCAACCATGCCGTGTGGTCATGTCCAGGCACAGAATTCTACAGTGTAGAATTCTGTGTGTCCAGGCTAACTACCACTCCATCCCCTCCCAACCATACAGGCGCCAAATCCATCTTGGCCCTTTGGCCGAACAGTACAATCTCTTAGTGTGATGGGAGTACCTGTTGTAGTATTTTAAGCTGAGTTATGTTCTTGGTGATATCTCTTTTGTCTTACGTCAAACATCTGGATGGGGTATTAAAGAAATTTTTTGCTATTCTTGGAAAGAAAACCCTGTTTTCAACTGATTGAATCAAATAAGTTTATAGATCATTTTGAACTATTTTGACCAGACGTCACACCTAAACAATGAACACCCAGATGGGTTCAGGCAGAGACACTGGTTCAGGTTGGGCCGATCTGGGTTCGGCGCCCTCGGTGACGTCAGACGTAGGGAACGAAAGAGGCGGGGAGACCCTTGCGACCGGCAACCGGGGGCTTATGTGGGGTGCCCACTACGGCTGGATAGGGCCTATCGCCCGACTCGACCGCCCGACTCGACCGCCCGACTCGATCGCCTGAAACTGAAAACAAACACGTTTGTTTTTGAGGCGATCGAGCCGATCAGCCGATCCTATCCGTAGTGGGCATCAGTGGGCACCCCGTATTACCCGCCCTCCTCCCACTAGCCTAATAATAGACACCTTAACTAAAGACTGGAGTACTTAGGAATAAGAGATTGGTTTGAAAAAAAATATTGTGATATTTTGTTAAGTTTTGGAGCATCGTATTCCCTTATTTTCGAAAATCCTTTCTCCTTTTCAAAGGGTGGCGCTATGGTGCCATTTGCGCTTGGAGAGCCACGCCACTGTTTGTCACTGTGCTGTCACTTGTGGGGGTAACACAAAAAAAAGAAAGAAATAAAACCGAAAAGAAAGTTATACAAGCGTCTTGTCGGGCTCGCTATTGTGACCGGTCAATGAACCCGAAACCGTTCTGAGCGCTTCCTAGTACAGGACTCAGGAACAGGGGGAGATTATTGATTTAAAAAAAAAAGACGCACTCCGGGATAGGGGGAGGGCTGGACGCAACGCCAGATGACAAACAAACTAAAACTGAATGCAATTGTAATATTTAATGTTTAGAATTTTGATTACTACTAGATCTGCAGCTTTCTGCAAAGTAAAGTGTGCGTTGGTGCAGGCCTTGTGCGAAATCGGGAACCGTCATAACTTGTAAGCGTGTTATGGAACTTAGGGGCCTATGTGTTCGCGTTTTATTGGATTGGTGACAGTAAATTAGATCTCTATATTTTAGCTTTCTGTTCAAGATTCGCAGATTTTTCAGTATCACTGCATCTTGCCCTCCCACAGTTCTTACACCTCTCACACTGAATAGGTCTACTTGGGCTATAATAATAATAATAATAATTGCATTTATATAGCCATGCTCAAGAGCATGCTCTATGCGCTTTACAACTATTATTACCTCAGCAGACCCTCGCTGAGAACACCCAGAAACATTCTCGGCTTCCGCGGAAGCATACAGTGCAAGCAGCGGATTTCACGCGCTCAAACACTATCAGACTGACAAGATCGTTCACTGTCTAAAATAGCCGGGTACCCATTTCCACCTGGGTGAAGTGAGGAAAATTTGTGGAAAGTGCCTTTCCCAAGGACACAACGTCGGGTCCCTGGCGGGATTCGAACCCACGACCTTACGGTTGCGAATCCGAGAGCTATTCTACTTTACTTTGAGTTTGAGCATTAATTTTTGTCTTTCACGTTTATTATATAGGCCTATATATATGATATGCATCATGACAGTCGATATTCTGGTTCTAGGCTCAAAACAACATTCCTTTTTACATAGTTTATATATACAGGCGAATATGATGAAGGGAAAATATAAATAAGTTGCACAAGACCCAAGGCGCCACTACTTTCTGTACGTAATCAAGGTTGTTAATATTTGGTACGTGATTCTTACTTGAAATTGTCCCCCAAATCCCCAAATTGGTGTGAAATAACCTTGCTTTTATACATTTCATAAATTGATGGTTTTTATTTCAGCATTCTAGGGTTCAACAGTATAATAATAATGAGTGTTTCGCGCATGTCGTTGTTACAATCATTGTTCTAAGCGCTTTACATCATACTTGACTTGACTTTTTACTTTTTCATCCTCTGTTGCCGTTAAGCGTCGAGGGGAGATGCAGTTTTCTATGGTAGGCCAGCTCCGCTGCTCTTTCAGTTGTGATGTTATGTTTTCTTAGGGTTTCCTTGACACCCTCGATCTACCTTTTGCGTGGCCTTCCTCTTCCTTTATAGCCTGAGTGCTTGGTGTTGTAGGCTCTCAAGGCTGGCTGGACAAGTGAAATGCGTAATAGGTGGCCAGACCATTTTATCCTCTGTCTTTCTATGTAACGCAGGCAGGACTCAGTGCCGATAGCTGCTCTTACTTTTTCATTTCTCTGCCTGTCTCGTCTTGTGATGTTAAGGGTTTTGCGGAGACATTTCATTTCGCATGCGGTGATTTTGCTTTTATGGGTTTTGCTTAAGGTCCAGGTCTGGCACTGATAACATAATGTTGGTATGAATATTGAGCTGATCAACTGTCTCTTTGTGTCCATGGAGATGTTTGGATGAGATAGAAGGGGTGCAAGCTGGTAGGTGACAGCGTTGGCTGCTTTACATATTGTGCTTTCCATAATATTCATGAAAAACATGCATACACACATACATGTATATAATAATATAAATATGCAGTTTTACATGCACTAAAAAGTAACAGTAAATCATTCCCCCCTATTCTTACTCTTTTCTCAAAGGAGCAAAAGACCCCCCCCCCCTTATCCAGGAGTAAGATTATATTTGAACATCCCCTTACCACTACACAACAGCGGTCGTTTTTTAAAGACCTTATATTTGATGTAATTCAGAACACAAGTATGCACCGTTTATATGTTGTTGCTGTTGGTAAAGCACACAGAGCCTGTGTTCTTTTATCTTGTTGATCACTATACAGCCTTTAAATGTTTATTGCCTTCTTCTTCTTCTTCTTCTTCTTCTTCTTCTTCTTCTTCTTCTTCTTCTTCTTCTCTCTTCTCTCTCTCCTCCTCCTCCTCCTCCTCCTCCTCCGAGTTCAACGTCTATACATCTCCATATACATCTACATCTACATCTACATATACAGATAGATAGATAGATAGATAGATAGATAGATAGATAGATAGATAGATAGATATATATATATATATATATATACATATACATCTACATCTACATCTACAT